GTGTGTGTGTGTGTGTGTGTGTGTGTGTGTGTGTGTGTGTGTGTGTGCGTGTGCGTGTGCGTGTGCGTGTGCGTGTGCGTGTGCGTGCGTGTGTGTGCGCGTGCGTGCGTGCGTGCGTGCATGCGTGCGTGCATGCGTGTGTGCGCGTGTGTTTGTGCGCCTTTTCCGCGACAGGAAACTGTGATCTTAGGGAGTGTAGAGCTACCTCGGCAATAATAATGAAAGGCTTAGTGATAGGACATTGTAACTATTCACTCATACAGAGAATGTACTCATACATACTCTCCGCTCTCTACTTTGAACATGTAATTACAAGAACTTATTAATGATTTTAGCACCTACTTGGCATGTGCGCAGTAATATCTGATGCTACCTCTATTGCCACCTTAAATATAAAGTTAGGCGTGGCGCAGGGTCGTAGCTACGGGGGGGCCTAGGGGGGCACGTGCCCCCCCACAAATTTTCTGTGCCCCCCCAGGTGCCCCCCACTGAAAATTCATGCTTGATAAAAAAAAAATTGAATTAAAAACAATGCCGTTAGAACAGTATAATACAAAGAAAGAGGGTTCGAACCACATCTCAGTAAAATTATATATTGTGCCCCCCCCCCGCTGAAAAATCCTAGCTACGCCACTGGCGTGGCGGCAAATGACTTATCCCTATAGTCATACAGGAATTCTTATCCATTGGTACAAATTCAATTGTGAGCAATGCTAGAATATGTTTTATTAAATCAAATGACAAGAGCCGTTTCTCCGGACAATTCACTAGTTTATTCTAGCAATAAATATCTCAATCGTCTGTCGAGACATGTTACACACGCAAAATCATCCACAAAGTTGTATATAATATATTTACATGGTTAAGAAGACACACGCGCGTAGTCGGTCACGCACACATACTTACACCATAAACATACGTATAGTCTATAATATAATAATATATACATACTAAGTATATGTATATAATTTACGTTCATTCGTATACGTACAATGTATCTTCTTGTACAAAGTATTGCTAATCGTCGCCCATATTTAACAAAATAATAGTCTTTTTTTGACAGACCAAATACATTACCTATAGCTGGAGATAGTTTTCACTTAACCGTCATTCGATATGCTCACAAAGGCTACATAAAAAGAGTACAATATATACATAGAAGATAAAAGCTTAGTTGATCTTGTAAGTGCGGTATATCCTGGGTATAAACCATGTTATATCATCAAATTGCAGCATACGTGCGTGCATTAATGATTTTGTAAAGAACCTTCAATCATATATATATAAATGGTATGGTTTAATGGTTACTCCGGATTCATATGAAAGTAAGTATGTAAATGCAAGTGAAATATCACAAAGTTAACTGCTAATTAGCACAAATGGACAGTAGAATTAATTAAGGTCTCATCACGCGCATACGGACGTATAAACTCTTGTTCGTCTTGCAAACTTTATAACAATCGCACCGCATCAGTGCATGGTAGTGCAGTGCAGGTGAGCCTCAAAATTCTTAGAGCAAGGCTGAATTTTGTCGACTCAGCCGAGTAAGATAACGAGCGAGGGGAATTTTTATTTACAGATAAGTTCCAAGAAATATACCACATATATTATAAGATACGGCAGGTGCGCACCAAGTGTACCGGGGTTAGACAAGCAGGAATCGTTGTGCATTCTATCATGTTTCACATGGTTTTCTATGGTATGTTCGCGGTTTCCCCTGCAGGCTGTGGCGGATAGTACCCACTGTCACCTTTCTCCTGTAGTCTCTACAGACTACACGTACGGCTTTGCTTGGACTTACACCAATTCGTTGCTTACTCTGACCATGATAGTATTAAGTTTGCATGATGGTCCTAAACTGTCCCTTTATCAAAACACGGAGCTACCATAGTTGATTTGTGCACTAATAAAACCGAAACGCTGCTAGTATTAAAACACGAAAACGAGTACAGAAGTATATAACAGTGTACACTCCGCAAATATAAGTAGTGTACAATCCACGAGCAAACACGNCTCTCTCTCTCTCTCTCTCTCTCTCTCTCTCTCTCTACTCTACTCTCTCTCTCTCTCTCTCTCTCTCTCTCTCTCTCTCTCTCTCTCTCTCTCTCTCTCTCTCTCTCTCTCTCTCTCTCTCTCTCTCTCTCTTTCTCTCTCTCTACCGACCCCTCTAATCGGTGCTGACGCTGGCGCGAGAACGCGTTCCCAGCCATGCGTGCGTGCGCACATCTTAGATATCGACCGGCCTGCGAGAGAGCCTCTGAGACAGGCTATCAACGGATCACCCGCTGCTGCTACACGCCTCATATTTCAGCCATCACCTTTAAAATTTAATTCGCCCCGCACTCGTTCCGTATTGGTGAAATGCGTGTTGAGTGTGATTGTTTTCCGCAGTGCGAGGCCGTTAAGCGAGAATCGAATATGCGGTTTAATGACTTGTGCGCGTATTTTTGTTGGAGAGCGTATTTCGTTCTCCGGTACACACGGCGGCGGTCAGTTCGCATCGGTAACAGATATACATATGTATGAGAAGTGTTGCTCGCGAGAAGGTTTCGAAAGACATTCGAACATCGAAATTCTAAATTCGATATTCGAAATTCGAAATCGAAAAAAATAGAAGAACTGTTGCGTCCAATCAGATTACGCGTTACTTTTCGCGGCTCGCGGCAATCCGTACACGGCATTTCTTTCATTCGTTAACTATTTATGCTCGAAATCCGAACTTGGAGATTGCTTGCTATACGTGTATGTATAGCAGAGCGACGCCTGTTCTTCGACTTTCTCACCGACAGCAGCCACGCATGATTTGTGCGGCGTGTGGAATTCAGAAATTAAGACTAAATTACCGGAGCACAGCTGTCGCCAGGCGCCGCCAACCGATATATACGGAGACGAAGCAACGACCGCAAGCTTAATAAAGAATGATCGTAATTTTGCGTGCGTATAGTGCCTGCCGTCCGCAATCCATACTGAGGGCGACGTTCTCGATATCGCTACCTATTTACATATATACATACACGCACGCACGCACACACGCACGCACGCACGGACGCACACACACACACACACACACACACACACACACACACACACACACAGCACACACACACACACACACGTCCCTTGCTGTTGTTGAGAAGAGGAGAAAGAAAAGGGCGTATGCGAAGGGAAGGAGAGAACGAGAGAGAGAAAGAGAGAGAAAGAAGAAAACGAGAAGGAGAGAGGAGGAGATGTTGCGTAAGTGTGCTGTGTGATGTGTGTGTGGTGTCCTGCCTGTCGTGCGCGTGTGTTGTGTGAATTTGTGTGTGTGTGTGGTGTGGTGCTGTGGTGTTTCTGCGTGTGAGTGTGGGTGTGTGTGAGTGTGTGTGTGTGTCGTGTTTGTGGTGGCTGTGTTGTGTTGTTGTTGTTGTGTTGTTTGTGGGTGTGTGTCGCCCGTGTGTGCTGACTAAGAGAGAGAGAGGAGGAGAGAGACCAGAGAGCGAGAGAGAGGCAGAGAGAAAGCAGTGAGAGCAGGGGGGGGGGCAGAGAGGAAGAGAGATCGCATGTGTACATATAATTTAATGTTATTTCCCTAATGAAACTATAAAATCAACTTATTTGCCCCAGTTTTACTCCTATTCATGAAACCGTCTCATTCAGATGCTGATAAAAGATAATGATATATATATATTTATTTATTTATATATGCCCTTGGAATTAAGCTCTAGTTGATATCTAATTGTGACTCAGTGTCGTCACCAACTAGAGCGTGATGTCATGCTGTCTTTGAGCTCACGTAATGTAAATAACCTCACCCGTCGCTGTCAAGCAAGTGAAGGTTAGACATCTGCATTCCGTCGTTGGCATAGCAACTGGTGACGCTCACGTCAAAATTCGCTGAAAAGTGACAAAATCGAAACATTACCCCACGAGAGTAAAGAACAATACCTCAGTCGCATACGCAGAGAGCTATACAAAAGATAATAAATGCTTGTATGGAATAATAGAAAAGAGGTGGGGGGAAAACAAGGAAAAATGATTAAAATATAACAAGACAGTTTTGATCTATGTACTTTTGTTTGTTTAACACTAACTCGCTCTTCGCGCCTCGCTGCCTTTTCCGGTTATGTGAAATCCATACAACATAACTCAACAAAACTCAACACGTTGACGGCAATATTTCAAGGGGCAATTTATCGAGATTTAACCTGCTATGATTTAAGATAATAACTCGTGAAAACGCAACGCCGCTGTCGCTGTCTCTCAACTGAACCGTTTCACAGTGAGGAGCGATGAGTGGATAATGAGTGAACATGCGCGGCGAAAACGTACGGCACTCACACACACGCACAAACACACACACACACACGCGCGCGCGCGCACACACACGCGCGCGCGCGCGACCCCCTACCCACCTGTTCGCACGTGTCTTTGCACACGGCACACTGGCAGTCGAAATAGAGCATCCCTGCATCTGGAAACTTGAACACTTTGAAGTTGATGAAGACGAAGTTGGTGGCCGTCGCCTCGTCCCTGTAGCGCTGCTGAAGACCGATGTACTTACGGTGCACGGGGCATCTGGTGCGGAGAAAAGTACGAGGGTCACCGCGCACGTACGATACGATCGAAAACCCCACCAGGAAATGATTGCAGCGTATTTCTTTACATTTAGGCTTGTCCTTTGTGTGTGTGAGAAAGAGGAGAAGAAATAGGGATGCGAGAGGAAGAGAGAGAGAGAGAGAGAGAGAGAGAAAGAGAGAGAAAGAGAAAGAGAGAAAGGGAGGGAGAGGAAGGATGTGCGTA